ACAGGAGGTACTCGTAGAGAGAAGAGACGATGGTGTGCTCCCATGAGTCCACATAGTGCCTAGCATGCAAGTTAAAGAGACAAGAAACTTGCAAGCTATATCAAAAGACAGAAAAACACCAGAAAAATAACACTGGGAAGAGAAAGGAGAAAAACCATGTTGTACATTCACTGTGTCTTGTTTCTGCCATTTTCTATATTCAGTGGAATTTTTAAAAGGATGCCCACTCGAATTCTAGCAAATCAAAGTCAAGGAGAAGAGTAGCATAACAAAATAAATTAACCTTTGCTTTTTAAAATGCAAAATTGTGTTTAAACTGCCTTCTTGTCCAATCCATGACAAGCTTTTCTCAGTGCACTTTTCTTGGCCATGAAGCAATGGCCATACTGGTCTCCTCTTCATCTAACCACCCTTTAAGGACTTTAACCTGAATTGCTAGTTGATGAATCTGTGTACCTGTGCTTCACTGTCACTTGCAGTGTACTCTAGAAATTGCACATTCAGAGGTGTTCTCCGAACAGCTAACAGAAACCTACAGTCTTACTCCCTCCTTCCTTACTGAAAAGTTAAGCTAAACAAGCCTTGAGCTTAAATACCAGGGTGGATTTTTCTCATCTGTTTTCATACAGTATTTTTTCCCCTGTAATCAGTTTTAAGGCACCTGAGCTCTAATGTGCTTGCAAGTTTGAATGACAAATTGCTTACAGGCAACCTAGAAACACATTTTGACCTACAAGAAAAGAAAACCATGCTTCACTCCCACCCCAAATCATTAGAAACCAGGACATACTCTCCTCAAGTTCACTCAAAGCACTTGGGAAAAGCTCTTTGCCTAGCAAAGAAAGGAATCAGTCTTTCTTCTGACAATATTTTAGAGGAAGATTAATTAATTTCTCAATTTGCTACTAACCTCCCTTCCTCACACTTAAGTAGGAATATAGATTGTTCTGTATAAAAAAAAAAAACCTTTCCTTCTTCTCAACTTATTAAGTGAGAGTTAAAAAAAATAAATTAAGTCTACCATAAAATATTTTTGGAGGTTAAATATTTTTGCCAGGAAAAAACAGCAGCAGCTCCTGGCTCTGTGCTCCCTATGCACCACTTTGAAGCCACCTGAATCCCACCAGCAGTATCTACCTCTAGTCTGAGGACTCCTGTTCTCTCACTCACTGTTTTTTCCTTACTTGGTGCTGTTAACATAGGGTGTTGGTCACATTAAACTCAAATACTCAACAAACACTTTGAAAGTAGCCCCTTGATTCACACAGACTTGAACAAAGACCCGAGTGAAATGAGCTAACTGCAAATATGTGCTCTTTCTACTTTTCTGTTACAGAGATGCAGTTAAAACTGAAGAGACAGTTCAAACTCTGCGAGTAAACACTGCATCTTAAAGACTTATTCTGCCCTTTGGAAACTTACATTGGAGGTTTTACTTGAACACAAATTAGTTATTAGTTTATACTGTCTAAGGTAACATTTCTAACAGGAGTTGTTTATGTGAAGCCGTATTTTCTTTTGCCTGTTTGCAAGGATGTGTTCTTTAAAATACAGAACATACCCACCCAGGTATTATTTGTAGTTCAATGGTGCAAGTGCACTGTAGAAGTGACTGCTTTCTTTACAATGGTCAATGTGAATACAAGCTATTCTGTTTTTAATTCCCAAGTAAATACATTTATAACCCCCTCAGAACAGCGACCACAATAGTGCATTTTGTGCGATGAATTTTGAGAGAGATTATTTTGGGAAATAGTCTTTCAAACATCTGCACCAGCTAGTAGGTAAAATACAGGAGCCAGACTGTATCCATAAAGCAGTACCACTCCACCTCTTGTAATAAAGCTGAAGGCTGCACCCTAACAAACGTTTGCTGCGTCATCCTCAGGCCTGGTTTATTTACATTTTGCTGCTGCTCGTTAGCAAGCACAAACCCACTTGACAAAGGAAAACAAAAAAGATGTTCAGCTTCTCTTCGGATTTTAAAAAGAGAAGTGATTGCATCTTCTTTTTTTTTTGTGGTGAAAAGAGAGTTGACTAATGAAGCATCAAAACGTTTGACTGTAATACAGGGACACATAAACACCTCTTACAGTCTAATTAAGCAGATAAATTCCATTTACAGCTCTACAGAGCAGATTTTAAATCTGGCTTCCAGTGCTTTCAGTCTGTTTGTACATACAGCAGGGATAAGTGTGTTGATAAAGAAAATCTGAACTTTAACAGGACAGCTATTGCGTGTACATCTACAGTACATTATGCACATCTAGATTTACTCCTTTGTATGACAGCTTACTTCTAAGTGCACAGTGTTGTCGAGAGTGCTGCAGCAGTCCCTCAGTGCTGGCAGCTGTTAATCTGTGTTTTGCAAGCCTGCCTTTGTCTCCAGGCTGAGGTCTTATTGTATTTTCATTACTTATTAAAAATAGCTGGTAGTATTGTCAAATTAGGGGGATTAACCTACTTTAAAAAGGAAATTAGGTCAGTTACTATATTGATGCCCAGCCTCCAGCTCTCCTGTATTGTTACAGCTCTCTTGCACACTGCAAAATGGGCGTCTTCCTGGGGAAAATACGTACCCGTGTGCAGCAGCCTGCTTCACTCCACACTCGAACTCAACACTGAACACACACAGGGAGGTAAAACCCCCACTGCTCGTTATTAGTCTCTGCTGACACAAACCTCTTGGCCAGAGAAGAAACATGACTTCCTGTAGATTCTTACGAGGTGCTCCACTAGCAGGTTGTTTTCAACAGTGACGCCAAACTGGGCTATCACATCCTTCTGATATTTGAAACACACCTAAAAATCAGACTCCTAAACAGTTTTTGAGGTTATCTTCACCAAAGTACCTCGGAATACCCCTTCCAAACCTACCTTACCCAAAACAGAGACTTGGATGAAGCCACCACTAGCAGAGGAACGCACTCGCCAGCCACCAGGCTACGAACCCTCTCTGAGCAGAGCCCAGGGAGGGAAAGCGTGGCAGCACCCTCCGTGCAGTTACAAGCCTTGATTGCTATGGTGGCATCTGAAACACTGGGCACGCTGGGAGAAAGAAGCAATTCTTCACGCTCTGTGCAACTGCTGCTGTCTCAGGTTCAATGCAAAATACGAGCCCAGCTGCTTATCTGCCATGCAACCATCCGGAATGCAAGCGCTCACAAGACAAAAGGCTTGGTGGCTCCATTCACTCCATCCTCAGCTTTTTGAGTCCTCCTTTGCTCTTGGCCCCTTATTTTTTTCACTACAGTCACTAAGTAAAGACTCAGAAAGGACAGTTGCTCGTTTAGGCAAGGGAGTCTGCTGTGCCCTCCCAAACAGAGCTCACTCTTGCTCCAGGACAGCGCTCCGAAGCCCGCTGCTTTCAGAAAAACTTCCCCATGCCAGGGAATCCTCATTATTGTCTTCCCAGTAAAAGGACAAGATTGACCTCTAGATAATACACCAAGAGAAAGGCAGAGAGAGAATTACCCCCTGGCACTTCTCGGACAGTTCTTCCTCCCCAGAACAGTTCACAGTCACTCTCCACTGTCACACGGAGGCAGGGAAATCCACGCGTAGGGAAAACATACTGCAGTTACCTGTCGTTAGACAGCTAGCTACATGCAGCTAGGAAAAATAACTGAAATTTAACGGTATGCTTTTTCTCTGTCCTCTCAGCTGATCTACAGCTAACCAAGAGATCGCAATTTCTACATATTAATTACACACCAGAAAAGGAGAGAGAGAGAGGACAGAAAGTAGGACAAATCTAAACTGTACAGGGCATTCCTTTCTCTTGCATAATGAGCTACCACAATTCAACCTTTCCCATTCCTTGGTATCCATTTCTCCATGCTTCCCCACATGCACAGCTATTGCCGAGAAAGGCTGAATCACCGGGAAGCTTAAGATTGCTCAAGGAACATGAGAGCTGCTGCAGAACCACCCCCACAAGAGACCACACAGAAAAGCCTCAGGAATCCTCCTAAGCACCCTCGTGATTCCTTACTACGGCACTTCTTAGCAGATGACAGAAAGAACACTTTTTCTGTTTCTTTCTTTTCTTCATTTTTTTTCCTAAAGAGTCCAGAGAGGGCAGAGAATGAAGCAGCATACGGCACATCCAGACTCTCCCATCCCCTTGCGTCAGCGTAAAAGCAAGTGTCTAGGTTACATTAACCAGCATCCTTCACAGTCTCTCTTCTCCGTCTTCTTTAGGCAATGCAGGGAATATGCAGGCGAATGACCATTGCCAAGGGTGTCCCTGTGAATCCCACCAAGCTGGGACTGACAACTCTTAAAGCTCTTTCTTTTCCTGTTTTCCAGGCTCATCTCCACATAGGAGCCAACTGAATGAAGCAGACGTGGATTTTGTCATGTGATGTTGTTGCTTTAACATTCCCCACCAGAAACGTGTAGGCTTAAAGGAGAAATCAATGATGGGGGCAGTAAGCAATGTGCAGATCAAAATAGCGTTTATCACTTCTACAGCACGTAACACACCAGCAGGTATTTTTTTGTCTGTTAACATCACAAAGCACAAGTGAGAAGCAGAAACAAGTTCGAAAGACATATGCAACCCAAATCAGCTCACGCAGGTAAATGCAATGACAGAGATGCCAACTGCAGGATGGACAACCCAAGAACAAGAAGATGTTTGCCACATCTTTACTTTTTTCTGGATCATTACAGGTCAAGCAGTCATATCTTCATTCACACTTATTTTGCATTGTTACATGTCACTCTTCAGAGTTAATGATTTCAAGAACCAGGGAGAATTTTGCACCCAAATTAAATAAACATAGCCACAACAACTTATTGTCTTGTAGCAACATACTATATCCCTGGCATTTTCCTCATCAACCAGAACATACCGCAGACAAACGCTGTAAGCAACGAACTTAGAAAAAGGCACCCCACCCCACCATTCTCTGCACAGGTAGGCAGGCAGGACGTTCAGCTCTTCCCCCACACAAGAAAGGAATGACATTTTGCAGAGTTTATATGTTCTTTACCTTGTAGCAAACATTGCTCTCAGGGAAGAGAAGGTAGCAGCATCCTCTTTCAAAGCCTTCAGCTCATTTCGCAGCTTCATCATTGTCTCCGTAACCATAGCTTTCTCATTTTCATACTTGCTTTTTAAGTTGGCAAGGGCTACCTCTGCAGTCTATTGTTTACCAAGAAGAACAGAAACGCACTAGTTAATGAAACTCTTCACAAAGCGTCTGGCTAAGAGATTCCTAATCACTATTCACATAATGAAATATTTACGTGGTATGGGAGTGTTACACTTCTAGTCAACTTTTCTTGTACAGATTAAATAAAATTTCATTTCTGAACACCAGAAACATATGGGACATACGGGTCACCTACTCCTATTAACCATGCAGCAGCATCCAGGAAGTTACAGAATACATATTTAGTGACACTGATTTCCAACTACTAAAAGAAATTAAACATTACATACTTCAACACAAAGAACAAAATAGTCTATTTAGTATCTCTACATTTAAATGCATTCATCAATCACTTGCGCAGTTCTCTAACCCTTACAGCATTTTGCCTATCTTGCATTTTGGGACATCTGTATTAAAATGTGCAAAAGAAAACTGAAAGTATGTATGTATTTCTTAAAACAACACTATAACTTTTTTTTTTTAAGACAATTGCAACTTGCACTATTTTTAACTTTAGAGGAGACAATGAAGCATATCACATGGTCTTTCGGCGGCAGTTATTTTAATCTACTGCACTGCTAATGTGGATCAAATAGCACAGCCCAATCCCCAAAGACTAATTTTACCTTTCACCCCTGTTATTTTGACCATGTTCTTACATCACATCCTTGTCTTGGAAGGCTTTCTCTATTTTGCAATTTGAAAGAGAAGAGTACTTAACAGCTCTTTCAAAGGTAACTACTAGAATTCTTTCAAGTAAGAAAATACGGTTGACCTCTTTATTTTAGGTGGCTTACATTAAATATAATCTGATATAATTCAGACAGGCAGTAGATTGAAGCTACCTTGATCTTAATAAAAAGTCTCATGAGTACGTGACAAGCAAAGATCAGTTAGGCCCCAGCACTCAGATTTACAGCTGGACAGCTGTGTGCCTCTAATGAAACTGTCTGCGCCAGCCTTGTACCAAATGAATATCAGCAACAAAAGCCCCAGAGATCAGAGGGTACGGCAGTATGACCTCAAAGGTAAATTCTCTTGTGTTTGTCACCCAATTCCCTGACACTACAACCTTCACATCTGTTAAGACCCTGTTACCTGTTTGTTGGCCTTCAGCACAGTTCTCAGAGTTGCTATCTGTTCTCTCTTGGTGCTCAGCAGGGACTTCAACTTCAGGATTTCTTCCATGAGAGCTTCCTTGTCTTTGTCCACCACTGGCCCAAGTTCTTGAGTAGCAACACGCTGCCTGGACAACTCAGTTGTTCTGTCCACGGCAGCTTGCAGGTGTTTGATCTGATCCCGGATTATAGCAATCAAGTTGTAAATGTTCATTGGTTCCTTCCGAGGATCTGACACAGGAGACGGTAGAGATGACACTGGAGACGGGCTGCTGTCACCGCTTCCGTTCTCTGCCTTTCCTAGATCTATGGTTAACAGCCCTTTGGAAAGAAGAATAGGAGACCTTCTTCCCTTGGCCTCTGGACTACTGCGTCCACCTTTGCCTTCCTTGTAGTAATCCAGCATCACTCTGTTTGGAGTTTCATTGTTGCACATGCAGACATGGTGGTATAAGTTGGCCAGTTCTTCACTGAAGGTGACTAGTTCATCTTGGGCCACACTGAGGCTGCCCTGTGTTTCTCCAGCAACATCACTGACTTTCTTCAGCTCCTTCTCCAGTCTGGCCACCTGTTCTCTATCATGCCGACTGGATTTTTCCAGTGAGGTGATCTTTTCAGTGAGACCTTGGCTCTCAGTCTCATACCTGCTCTTCTCTTCCTCATACTTAGACTCACATTCTTCGTACTTGGCCTTAAGATTTTTAAGCTCTTCCTTTAGGTCAGCAATCTCTGCCACTGCCACTTTATACTTGCACTCTAGGATCTCTGGCCCATTGATGTCAACTTCATAATAGTCTCCATCTTCGTGGCTGTCTCGGTCCTTCTCATTGTCAAGGGCAGACTGACGCTCCTTGCTGACCTGAAGCTTCTTCATTGCATTCAGGTTCTCTGTGAGTCTGCCAACTTTCTCATGCTGCTCTGAGAGGGCCCCTCGTGTATTTTCCAGCTGCTTCTGAGATTCCTGTAGCGTTGCTAACAAGTTCATCTTTTCTCTTTCCATCTGAAACGCATGAACACAGACATCCACATAAAGGGAACTGTATCGCTTAAACGGTTTCATTATAAGAGACAGCAACTTAACCAAGGTCCGTATGGCTACAGAAATCTGATCCCTTGCACATTATGGAAAAGGCTATTGAATTTATTCTAAAACCATCTCAAGAACAGCATTCCTTGCCAATTCTTTCTCATTTCCACTTCAAAATGCACATTTTTACACATTTCTTCCACAGCTGATGGTCTCATTGTGAAAACATCCTTACAGCTGAAGATAAGCTGAAGTTATCTTGCTAATTATCAAGTAAATATTAGCAAACATGCAGCTAATCTATGATGGAAGCTTGGAGCTTCATGAAAGATTCTGAAATACCGAAACTTCTAAAGTTTCTTCTCTGAAAATTCTCATTTTGAAGAAATACAGCATTTTTTTTTCACAAAGGCTTCTTCTTATAGAACACTTAAAACATGCTTGACAAAATAACTTAAAAACATTTCTAGGCAACACAGATATGTACCTTGTTTCAAACTCTCCAACTTCCCAATAGCAGAAATATAACACAGAAATGCTTGGTACTGATTAAAACTTCAAGTTCTGTGAACTAATTACAGCAAATACTTATGGTGTACAAAACTCCTTTTGGTGAAGATGACTGGAGGAACTATCAATTTTTGAACAAAATACTATCTTTCTCACTAGTGACATAATGAAGTAGACACAGCGTATACTGCACAGAAGAGGCATTACAGCTTTTCTCTACACATAGGACATGACTGCTAGCTTCTTTGCATTAAAAAAAAAGAAAAAAGCTATGGTTTTGCACTGACAAACTTCACATTCTAAATCAATCAGAGCCTTTACAAATATTGTTCATACTGTATGGTGGCCACGTGAGATTTTGAGAAGACTGAAATTACAACCCAAACAAACTCCAGCAGCTTCTTGGAAGTATACAATTGTTTAGGAAACCCATTTACCTGTACAAGCTGCTGTTTCAGTTTCTGGATTTCAGAAATGTTTAATTCACTCAGAAGATCTGAAACCAGGCTTGGGGCTGGAGGGAAGCTTTCATTTTTCTTGGGCGTTGATGTACTATTCTTGCCATTGCTGAGTTTACTGAGGCAGTTTTGTTCAAATCCGTTCATGATTTCATCGTTATTGGGCTCTGTGGCTTCATCGCTGAACTTCAGTCCATCCAAAGAGATGTTCAGGTGGCTGTTGTACATGGAGTCGTTGATGTTCATGTAGTGAGAGAGCTCCTTACGAAGATTGTTCTTCTGCTCCCGCTCTGTTTTCAGCGTCTCTAAGGCCTCCTCAAGCTGGCGTTCAGAGATCTCCTTCAGCCGTATGGCATCTTCTAGCTGGCTGTTGAGAAATTCTGTTTCCTCTTCAAGCCTTTTGATTTCATGTTTCAGGCCTTCAAACTCCACCTGGAGATATACAAATGGAGGGGGGGGGGAGAAAAAAACCCTAATGAAAATGTCTGGAACACTGGCTCGATCAGAGATAAGGCTAGAGCCCTGGATGTGTCAAAAATGAGGATGGCACTCTGAGTAGATCAATGGTTGTCCCTGATATTTGGCTTGGGAAAAGAATCTTTGGTCGTAGGCTTGCCAACCTGGTAAGGAAGGCTTTAAACTAATATTGCCAGGGGAAGGGAGCCTTAATCCATCCCACTCTTACCACTCCAATGACAGAAAAGCCAGCAACAAATGCCCAGAGCCTGGAAAAGGTTCACAGGCTGGCATGAGGGCGGCTAGAAGGCAGCACACAGGAGCTCCAGCCTCCTTGGGAGCCCAGCTTAAGT